GACAGACCCTGTCATGATCCATTTCTAAGTATCAGAAAGTCCAAGCCTACAGGACTGGGGAGATGACTCGGTGGTTAAAAGTACTGGCTGATCTCTCAAAGGACCAGGATTTGGTTCCCAACACCCATATGATGACTAACAATCATCAGTAACTCCAATTTCAGGGGATCACACACCATCTGATGGCTTCTGTGGGCATTGCAGGCACGTGGTAAGCTTACATACATGCAGACAAAATACTCATACACATAAAATAGAAATAAATTCAAAAAATACATTCTTTTAAAGAAAGTCCAGGCCTATCTAAATCAAAGTATCACTCCCACATCCAATTCCAAGAGTCTTTCCTGGGTTCAGGCTCTCGGAGCTGCCACAGTGAAGTGGGACCCAGTCAAGTTTTACTCCATACCTTCTTACCTTGCTCTCTCTTTTACCCCATTCCTAGCCATCTGACCAAACTGCTGCTTCAAGTCCTTCTGGCCAATCAGAGAGAGAAGGAAATGGAGGAAATGGAGGAAAAACTTAAAAACTTAGCCAACCTGCCTGTCATTTTGTATGCCATCACATCTGGTGGCAAGTAACGGCACTTCCCTGGAGCTCTTTGTAAGGAGGCTCTTAGCAGAAGGCTCCATTTTGACACAGAGATAGAAACTATTGTCCTATTGGGGCTTCCACCCCAACTGCACTCCTAAACCCACAATTCAACTCATTTCCATTTACTAGTACGATCTCTCCTCAGGCAGGTCTTAGATGAAGTCCCATTGAGATGGCTGGAAGTGGAGGACAGGACAGGACAGGAGCTGTGTAGCTCAGTGATGGATGGAGCACTTGCCTAGCATGTGTGCAGCCCTAGGATCAAGCTCCAGGCCTCAGTACACTTTCTCTGGCACTTCAGGCCTTTTCTCTCTTTCTCTAAAGCTCCACCCCCCATCTTCTTATGGTTACTCTGCCACCATGTGGCTCACCTCTCTGTCAGCTTAACTCAAATGCCATGCCTTTTTCTTTCTTTCTATCCCCCTCCTCCCAGCAGCTGCCAGGATTTACAGTTTGCCTGCCCTGAGGTTTTTCTTTTAAACTCTCATAAAAGAAAAGATGGGTGGAGATGGGCTATTTGTCACAGCAGTGTGTCTGGATACATAAGTCCATGGGAAGCTCACACTTCCTGTCCCTCACCACTGTCCCTGAGTGTACCCTGTTCACCTGGCCTTTACAGCCAGATATCCCTAGGCCATTGCCTTCACAGTTCTCTGGGACTGAAGTAGGAACCAGTCTCCAGATTCACACACCTTCTAGAGCTCCTAGGAACGTGTCCTGGATTGTCAAGAAATCTCTTTCATCCCTAACTTTTACTCGAAAGGATTCTATGAGTTTCTTTAGCTCAGCAGGTAGTAAAGTGTCTCCATCTCCATGGACAGAAGTCTTTCCTTTGATGAGGTAGAAGTGGGCAAAGAGCCACTTAGCTGAGGAAAGAGCAGAGGGACTCCTCCAGTCCCCCCACCAAGGAATTTCTTTAAAATGTCCCATCCCCTGTAAAACCAGATGCATGTTGGGGGATGGAGATGATGGTGTTAAGAACAGGGTAGGCAGGTTTTTTTCAGCGCAGCATATGTGTCCTTCAGTTTCTCTTCACCTTGTTGCAAAAGCCTATTTCCCTTCCTTTGGGTTTCAGCCAGAATTCTGAGCTATCCCAAAGAGCCTTAGTGCTGTTTAGTTGTATGTATCACATTGGCTAGGACAGAGCATGCTCAAGACCTTAATTCAATACCCGCCCCCCCCCAAAAGGATTAGGATAGAGTACCCAAATAGTTGGTCAAACAATAGTCTAGATATCACCGTGAAAGGGTTTTTGTTTTCTTGGATACAGTTAACATTCAAGTACCTTCCAAGAGTGAGCCTCACACATCAGCTGAGGGTCTTAAAAGACAAGAAGACTGAGATCCCCAAGGAAAAGTGTGCCTGAAGATGCCTTCTGACTAGCACTGCACCATCGCCTCTTCCCCCAGATCTCTAGCCTGCCAGCTCACCCTGAAGGTTTTGACTTTGTCATCCTCTAAAGCCCACAATCACATTAACCAATTTTTTTTTATCTTTTTGAGACAGGGTCTCCTTGTAGCCCCAGCTGTCCTGGAACTCACTATATAGACCAGGCTGGCCTCAAACTCACAAAGATCCGCCTGCCTCTGCCTCCCAAGTGCTAGGATTAAGGGTGTGTACCACCACGCCCAGCACATTAACCAATTTTCAAAGAAGTTTTTAGACTATATGAATGTATATATCCTATTTGTTTCTCTGGAAAATCTTGGCTAACACAGCATTTCAGATCAACGCTACCAAGGACTCATGCCTAACTTGTTTTGCTCAGTATAGGCATATTTACCCAGAGCAGTCAACAGATTCCATCCATCATAAACAATATACTTTTATCAGCACCTGGAGCAGTTCTCCAACTCAGGACTTGATGAATAAATCAAGACTGCTGCAGGGTGACAACACATAGGATAAAATGAGAAGAATTTTATATAGCCACATACACTTTCCATCTGATTGTGATAGAAGTCTCCAAACTGCCCTCCCCAAATCAGAAAGTAAGTCTATCACGCTTAGCTCCAGACTGCCTCTGCTGTCAACCAGACTTACTGTGTAAATGGCCCATGCTGGGGGGAGTGGGGTGATTTCAGGGCCCTTATTACCAATTCTCCGACATTCTCAAGGTCTCTACACACTGTCTGAAGCTCACTGCAATTATTTTCATTAACTGTTGTTCAAAGAAATTTCGATTTTCCAGCACCCTTTGCCAAATACTTGTCCCTAGCAACTGGTTACCCTTGGGAACAGTCACTCCCCCCACCTTCACCCCCTCCCCATCCTGCATCTTTCTGTTGCTCTCTTGTCCACTGCCTCAGGGTTGCACATCAGTCACACTATGGCCATAGAGTGTCTCATCACGAACATTCATTTGGTAGAAGCCTATCTTGCCAATTAATTCCAAATTGAAAACAGATCTCCTTGGCCCAGAAGCAAGGGACTGTGATTAGAGTGCACTGTTTAACGCCATAATTGAGCAAGTTGCACAATACCATCACCATTGTTACTAATTAAAACAGTTCACGTTTACTAAATGCTTGCTAGAAGCCAAGCGTTATTCAGAGCACCCCATTCAGAGTACTAAGTAAGTCTCAGAAGCCTTGAAATACTAGGGTGGCCCTAAAGCCATTGCTGCTGAGACCTGGGGCCTGGAGACACTGTGACTCAGCCAGGGCCACCTAGCCTCTGCGGCAGGGTAGGTTTTGGATCCCCGCAGTCTGGTTTCAAACCATATTCCTTACAATGTCACTTCACCTTCTGAGGCTCTGCTTTATCTTTATAAACTGGCTCTTGTAGAGTTTGTAGATATTTTTAACTAAAAAGGGTTATGTACTTTTTTGAATGTTATGAACCATATTGCTACTAAAAAGGACATTATTGGAAGTTATATTAAAAGAAGCACTTTGTGAGGCTGGGCTTTTGGGGTTTTGATACAAAAATAGACAAAAGCTTACTAGTCAAACGGTGCTGAAGCCAAACCACTGTCTCAAAAATGCATTCGACAAAGGCTCTCAGACTTGAACAGAAAGCTAAATTCAGTTTCCCGGCTGGCAGAACAAAGAAAAGATAGTAAATTTACTATATTTTATCACATGCTAAAAAGAAAAGTTCACAGAGAAAGTTACACTGAACTGTGAAAGGAACTTTTTTAAAGATGGTTTGTGTCTCAGTTGCACCTTCAGAAGCCCATGCTTGAAGCTCAATCAGAAGGCTTTGTCTCTGTAAGTTTCCCACCCAACCCACTCAAGATGCAAATAAGGAACTGGTCACACAAGCAGTGCCAGTCACATTTTCATTTCATGGGTGGCTCAGACTGTGGAACCAGCTGATTAAGCACCCCTGGCCATCTTGGTCCCAGGAACATAGGAGGAAAAGACCTAGGTTCAGTCAGCATGCACTCCTTAATGCCAGATTTTTTTACATACAATTTCAAATGTCTTGATCAACATAAATATAATTTTATTAACTAAATGTATTTTAGACAATTTCTTGCATGTGCACAATGCATACTGACCATCCTTACCCCTTACCTCCCTGGCACTCCTATTAATGCCCCGCTCCTCCCCACAAATACCTTTCACATTTACACCTATTGGTTTTGTTTGAGATCGACCAGGGCTGACTGTATGTCCATAGGTTTGGAGCTATCTGCTGGAACTTGGTGGGTTCAGCAGTGTACACACAATGAAAAACACTGGCTCTCCCTCTCCCAGAGTCCATCAATAGCCAATAGTTACAAAGTAAAGAATAGGACCCTGCAAGCCTCTCCCCATTCCTTGACTTATTGTTGATAGGGCTGGTGTGTGTGGCCCCAGTGCAGGTAACTACAGTTGTGAGAAACTTTTTTCAAAGGCATCTATTAACTACATTTTTTCAAATAAAAAAATTATTGAGAATTTCATGCATGCATATAAAGTGTTTTGATCAAATCCACACCCACTCCCTCCCCTCCAATTCCTCCCATACCTCCCCATCACTTTTTTCTGACAACTTCATATACTCTTTCTTTCTTTCTTTAATGGGACTTTTGCTGCCCTAACATTCCCCCCTCTGGCTACTCTCACATTACCCCTTCTGTAGAGGTAACCCTAAAATCTTTTAGGGATTAGATAAAAGCTCCCAGATACTCTAGACATTTTTGACCTTTGGAACAGAGTGTGTTGCTAAGTGGCCCAAAGACATTTTGACTTTTAGCCCAGAAACTGGCTACTTTTCTTTGGGGTGTTTTTACCCTAACTGTCTAGGCCATTCCTACCTCCTATTCTTATCACGCCATCCTCTGAAGAGGTTACCCAAATTGCCAATAGGGAATAGGGATGCAGACTGCTCTGGCTTCTTCCATGCTGAACAGGGATGCAGGGTGAGACAACTGGAGTACACCTTCAGTGGGTCTATCTAAAAGACTCCCAAATTGCATAACTCGGCGTTTTGGCCAAGATTAAGTGTAGTATGTGTTCTTATCAGTTTAATTAACTACAAATTTTAAAGTTAGAAATACTTTTTATTTGTTTGTTGTCTTTAGAGACAGGGTCTCACTATGTAGCTCCAGCTGACCTGGAACCCGCTATGTAGACCGTCCTAGATTGGCTTGGATCTTACAGCGATCTACCTGTCTCTCCCTCCTGAGGGCCAGGATTAAAGACCTGAGCTACCACATCCAGCTTGAGTTAGGTGTACTTTTAGAAAATAAAAATGATAAAGATCCCTCATTTGAAAAATCCTTCACTTAACTTCACTGCCAAGTATTTCTCTTGTCCCTAACCTTAAGTGGGTCTCTTTGCCAGTTCTTGTCCCTAACCTTAAGTGGATCTCCTTGCCAGTTAAGAGCTCTTCCTCTAGTTCTGCCTGTTCTTGATAGGAAGAGAGTTCTTAATCTGGAGTGGTAGCATGCTTCGTGTGCTTTCTTTCTCTAGCCTTTTCTCACCAGCTGGCAGTGGATTCATCCACCATAAACATCTGTTTGTTCATACCTGGAGTAGTTCTTTAACTCAAAAGTTGATGAATAAATCCAAAGTCCTGCTGAAGGGAGACAGCACACAGGATAGAACGAGAATCATGCACAGCCATACACACCATTCCTCCGGTGGTGATATGAGACTCCAGATTCCCTCTAGTGTCACCAAGACTCACTGGGAGTGAATTAGTTCCCTTAGTCTATCACTACAGTCTGAACTACATACTCTCACTTAGGAGCATAAGTTTACTTGCATAGAAGTGGAAAGACCGGGATCCACCCTAGAGTTACAGAATCAAAGTCTCTGAGCTGGGATCCTAGAGACCAGGGTTGGGACCAATCCTGCCAGAGATCCTGATGCAGGTGTAGGTTTGAGCATCACTGCCTTGGATTTGACTTTCTCCAGCTTCAGGACACTTCTCTGTCCTTTGTGACTTCAAAATCACCAGGTAGCAGGTAACTGAAACTAGACAAGATGGTAGATACTATATCCTATATCCTCAACCACCTCAAAGCATGAAGCTTCAACAGCCTTGGAAATTGAATTTAAACAGATACACGTGGGTAAATTGCTTCTCATGAAATCCTTTACCATTTTGCTTTCCCATCTACTCTAATATTATCGGTGTTCTTCTCTAAATGTGTTGCTATCTGTCCTGTATGTCTTAAGTGATAAAGAAACCCAAAGCTAATAGCTCAATTTCCCCAGCAGGGGGAAAATGAAGAGAAATTGCCTTCCTGCATTGTGCTTTCGGTCATCAGGCTCATCGAACACAGATTTTTCCATTTGCCTGTGGCTGTTAACCAAACTACAGTAGTCAGGAATTGCCCATCCATAGTCAGAAAATTGGAGCGATGGTATTTATTTCCTTCCTGAAATGAAAAGGAGTTCTCTCAGTCACCATCATTTACTTGGAGGGACCATTTTTTTTTCAACAGAAATATTCCTGACTCTCACCAAGATTTAGAAAGCCAGCTAGGAATGCTCAAACACTCTAGCTTTGCGACTGGTCTCCTTGTGTGCTTTTGATAAATGGGCATTTCACATTTCACAGAAGCCCTGATGGACTGTTTCACTTTTTTTGTGACTATTAACACATTATAAACACAGTGGAAATGTACACATGTTTTAATCTCGCTCACTTTTCATATCTTCAGGTGAGGATTAGAAAAGCAGATCACCTTTCCCAAAAGAACGAGAGCTTTAACTTTTTGTTGTTACATTTCCTACAGTTATGCTCAAAAGTGGAACCAAATGAGCCTTCTGTGGCAGGAGCCTGAAGGAGTCAGTGACCTGTGCTGTTAGTTTATGTTGGATAGCTGTTTTGTTCAAACCACTCATGACTTGCCAAGCAGAGCATGTGAGGATAAAGCTCATTTTTAAAAATATATAGATAATGGGATTGGAGAGATGGCTCAGTGGTTAAGAGTACTGACTGGTTGCTCTTACAGAGGACCAGGGTTTCATTCTCAGCACCCACATGGTAGCTAGCAACCATCTATAACTCCAGTTCCAGAGGATCCAACACTCTCTTCTGGCCTCTGGGCACTGCATGCATGTGCATACATACATACATACATACATACATGTAGGTGAAACATCTACACATAAAATTAAAAAAAAAAAAACTTTAATATGAAAAGTAGAGACAGAGCTAGATACAGATAATGTTCCAGGACACATTTCAGTAAATAAAAGCCAAGTCTCCTGAAACAGTCCAGGATATCCATTTGGGGAACCCAATTCCTAAATCCTTCAGCCTCTGCCCTTGTCAGTGTCTTAGTTCATTTTGTGTGTTAAAAGAGTACTTGATGCTGGGTGATATATAAGTGAAGAGTTTTCTTTGACTCACAATATGGTGGCTGAGAAGTCCAAACAGTCAAACAGTGTATAGTGAGGGCTCCCTGGCTACATAACAGCATGGCAGAGAAGCAGAAGTACCCATGTGTAAAGAGGCCAAACCCAGAGCAGACTTGCTTCTAACCGCCTGCTCTCACGGTTTCTTATCCAGCTCCACAAGACCTAGTATACACCCTACAGAGTAGGCTAAACTGAGCCTTCCTTGGCAGGAGCCCAAAGAAATCAGTAACCTGTGCTCTCATCGGTTGATGCTGTGTAGTCATCAAAAGATAGGCATTATACCTTTCAGGAGCAGTTGTGCACAACATGACCCAAACCGCCTCCTAAAGGCTCCACCATCCCTCAGTGCTGTTATATCTGGACCATCCTTCAGCATGAGCTTAGTGAGGATAAACCATATTCAAACCCTGAGAGCCTCCTTCCCTCTTCATTGAGGAACAGAGGACATGGCTGTGATCTCTGTGTGCTTACTCATCGTCACCCCAGATCTCTTTACCACCATTCAGCCCAGTTTGCTGAGAGACTCCAGAAAAAAATAAAAGTCACTCTGCAAAGATACCACTGCAACCTCAGCAGCCCCGACCTCCTCTGCCACTCTGTCTGTGCTTCCTCCCTGCTCTGTCCTGTAATGTCACCACACAGTCTGCAAACCTCATCATCTCACAGCCGTCACTCTTACCCAGTCCTTTATTTGGGGGAGCCCCCCTCATCTCTCCTTTGGACATTCACTAATCCCTCCAACCACAGTTTCTTTCTTCCCAGAATTTTACACCAGAATTATCTCAGTAAAAGACATATCCCTCCTCGGAACCTCGGGGAGACGCAAAAGTGATTGGTAAGAAAAGCTCCTAACGTGATTCTCCAGGTCTTACACACAACTGGAGGCCACACATCCCTCTTCCAGAATATCTCCCTGAGTGCTTCTCTGGTCTTGAGCATCACGTCTACCTCTGACTATCTGGGCAACTGTTCTTCTCACTCTTCTGTGTGCTGCCCTTCCTCCACTCACTGACATTCTTGTCAGAGTGAAGCCTTCTCTGTACCTCTTCTTATGCCAGTGGCACCCTCCTCTGTGTAACCATCTTGCACTCTCACTGCAGGCCTTCCTCCAGGGATTCACTGTTGGTCCCTGATATTATAGACAGTGTTCTTTTCATTTATTAATTTTTAACAAAAAATAAGAATTTGAAGCATTGAGTTAAACTACATGCTATTAACCAAATAGCTAATCACGGGTTAGCCAAGGGACAGAAGGTGGTTAGCTCATGTGTATCACACTAGTGCAAGTCACAGAGGCTTGTATTAGGCCCACATTCCTCAGTCTATTCCCACTCTAGTCACCTTGCCCTAAAATACCATTACTTGCCACCTCATACTGGCTTATCAATGTGAGCTGTGTCTCAAAGGTGGTGTAAGGCATGGTGGACAGGGTGCGAACTGGAGAAATTGCTCAGACCTGAGTTCAGATCCCATTCTATCAGATACTGTGTAACCACACCAGGAGAGTCTCTCAACCTTGGAAGTAACAGCCCCTAACTTAGAGCATCACAGGAAGGCTATTATTACTGAGAAAATAAAAGTTCTGTTGTTTTGCCAGACTTCTAGCTGCCTCTTAAAGGCGCACTCCTGCTTTTTAACTGTGAGCATTTGCCAAGCTATGGACTTCACCTAAAAGGGTCTTTCCCACCCCTACCCTTGCGGGTTCCTTTAATATTTTTTAGCCAGCAAAGCCCAGTTCTAGTTTTACTTCCTTCCCGTCCTTCCTTCTGCTTAATTCATCTTCCCCAAAGAAAGTCTGCTGGACCTCGCTGACTCCAGCATGTTCCTTCTCTGTGTGTGACTGTTTGCCCGTGTGACTCTTTTCTTTCCAGCCAAGCCTGTAGCCCCATGGATAACTACAGTTGCTCGTGAATAAAAGAATGACAGCCTGTCCACAGCATGAAGCCTTGCAGTTACCTGTATCTCAAAGCAATACCGCCAACCTCCATGAGCTCGTTCTTTGATTGTAGCACCACCTTGCAGTACCATTAATGTGTGCCTCAGATCAGGGGCACTTACCTGCAGCAAATGGAATTGTAAGAGAATAGATATCTTGCAAAGTCTAGAACTCTGAAAGAGAAGGGTTTTTCTTTGAAAGATTATACAATTTTGAACATGTAGGTCCATAAAATTCTCTTTACCCAGCACAGACCAGTTTACTTTATGGACTACTAGTAGAACAAGAAATCAACCTAGCTCAGTGGGATACCACCAGAAATTTTGGGTGAAAAGAATAGAATAGAACAAAACAATAGAGGGAAACATCAGAGCGAACTGAAGGAAACACAGCTGATTACTTGGAGAAACTGATCACTGGACCCACTCCCAGAACTTTTGATTCTGTAGGTGTGGAGTGGAGACCAATACCTTCCTTTCTTATGTTACTTTTCTGATAATACATCATGACCAAAGCAAGTTATAGGAGGAAATGTTTATTGAGTTTAAGATTCAAGAGGACTAAGAGTCCACCATAGTAGGAGAGACATGGCAGCAGAGGCAGTTGGAGAACAGAGCTGAGCATTCACATCTTCAAGCAGGCATAGGAAGCAGAGAGATAAACTCAAAGCTGGGCAAGGCTATGAACACTTGCAGCCTCTCGCCAGTGATGTGCTTCCTCCAGCAAGGTCACACTTCCTAAACCTCTGCAAACAGCACCACCAGCTGGAGCCAAGCATTCAAATACTTGAGCCTATGAAGGGCATGTCTTATAAACCACCACATTCCATTTCTTGGCCTCCACAGGCTCATGACCATA